CGGAGCCCAAGAAGGAGAGTAGGAGGCCTCGTGCTTGGCCATGTGCCCGACGGCAAGGAGCCGGAGCCTAGCGGCCTGCCGGCCAAGCTCGGCGGAGTCCAGGCTGAGGCCCTGGGACCAGGCGATGGCCCCGGCCGCAGCGAGAAAGCCACAGTCTCCGTTGCCCCCAAGCTCCCGCAAGGACCACGAGGCAGGGGCTGAGGTCTCGGCCAAGACAAGCCGGAGAACATCATCAGCGTCAACGACGGTGCCAGGCAAGGGGGCCGCGGACGCGCCGGAGGGAGGGGCAGAGCCAGAGACGCCACCATGGGGAGCACGGTGATGTTTCGCGGGGCCAACGGCCTCGGTGGGCTGGTCGCTGGCACGCTTGGCGTCCGGCCGAGCGGCCGCAGAGGCGGACTCAGCGATGGTGACGTCACCGTCGCCGTCGAGCTGAGTGGGCGCCGGGGCGGGGGCTGGGGCCGGGGGTTCTGAGAGGGAGGTAGACGGCCGACGAGGGCCTGGGACTTTTTCGGCGACCGAAGGCCGACAAGGGCGGACGGCAGGGGGACCGAGGAACAGAGAGCGCTCACCATCCGCGAAAGTGTGGGTGGCCAGGGAGCAGGCCGACTCAGGGGGGACGGCCCGCAGAGGCCAAACGGGAGGATCGCCTTTGCGAGCAGCGCGGCGGCGAGCATGGACAGTGATGGCAGACCATTTCTGGGATTGCAGGAAGGAAAGCACATCTTCCTGATCCCAGGAGGGCGGCGCCCAGTGCAGGACCCAGGGCTTGGCCGTCGAGCCAGCCGCCTCGTCAGCCGCACCACCGACGATGCCAAGATCGTCAGACGGAGCTTGCCGCAAGGCCAACGGCTTTTGCTGCGACGCCGCAGAAGAGACCACGCGGCGGAAGTAATCCTCGTCGGACTCCCCCGAGCGCCGACGCACCCAGGTGGCCTTGGGGAGGGGATCCTTGCCGAGCACAGTCACGAAGAGACCACGGTGACCGCTGACCGAAGCGAGAGCCGCAGCGGTCTCAGTAGGCACCCGGAGGAACCCAGCCAAGGTAGTGTGGCCGCGGAAGACCGTACGCTGCCAAGAACCGCCAGAGAGGGCAGAAGCCTGGACAGAAGCCTGAGAAGCCAGAGCAGAGACCACAGAGACAGGCTCAGGGGGTTCAGATACAAAGACTGACCAGTAGCGAAGGGGGGCAAGCACGCGAACGGTGACCCGAGAGCGAGCCGAGGCCGAAGAGATGGAGGTGGACACGGGCTCCCGAGGGACGGGGCCAGGCTTGGTAGCGACCTGATGGATCTCCAGGCGAGCCGGGGCGTGGGTAGCAGAGCGCTGCCAGAGCACGGAGACCACTCGGTGCGGCTTGTCGCGCCGCGCAGGGAAGGCGACCGTACAGGGAGTGGAGAGATCAAACGCACTCCACAAGTCGGAAACCTCCTGCAAAGCACCGTGGTCGGAGACCAGCACAAGGAGGTTCGCGGGAAGCTCCTCCCCGCTTTCCACCGCTTTGCGAATCTCGCCAAGCGTGCGGAGCAGCGGGGCGGCAGACCACTCGTCGGGACGGACCTTGCGGCCGAAGTCGCGGGCGGGGGCCGAGCCGGGAGACTGGCGGGCAGGAGCGGCGCCAGCAGGAGCAGCCGAAGCAGGCGGGCAGAGCCGAGAAGAGAGACGAGCCGAGGCGACCACTAGGGGGAGCCAGGGAAGTCTTGGGGGCAGCCGCAGCGGGCGGAGCCGACGGCGCCGAGCGGGCACCGGAGGAGGTGGGGAGCAGCATTCCGCCCAGGAAGGAATGGCTGAAGGAGGGGCAGGATGGCCTGAGCGACCGCATGGTCGGAAGCCTCCGCTAGCGTGGCGGCCCGAACGGCTTCAGCCAGGGCAGCGACCAGCGGGGGCGCATTGGGGGGGATAGAGGGACTGGAGTGAGGGGTAGGGCCAGAGGGCCGACCCTTCCGAACTCGCTTGCGCTTGCGGGCGCGCGCAGGTGAGGCCGGGGGTTGGTCTGGCGAGGGGGGGAGATTATGCTGCAAGAGCCGAAGCAAGGCAGCGACAAGTTCCTGACCGGAGGTCTGAGTCTGACGCCGGCGACGCGCCGTGGCGGCGGATCCGCCAGCGCCCCCTCGCCACCAAGCGGGTGAGGCCGGGGAGAGGGGAGCGACCGGAAGGTCGTCATGGGGGGGGGGGGGCCAGACGAGGAGCGCCTGGGAGGAGGTTGGAACCAGAGGATTCCGCCGTTGACGAGTGCGACGCCCACGCACTCTACGGGCGGCCAAGACCCATCGAAGCCCTCGGGGAGGAGGGCAGCGTTTGGGGCGGTACCGTGGATTGCGCCTGCGCTTCCTGCGCAGCCGGGGCCAGCTGGTGTGCCAGCTGGCTTGGAGCTGGTGCTCCGTACATTTGTGCAGTGCACAAATGCCCGCTACCACGGCGAGGACGTTCACCAGCAGGTAGCTGATCCTGAGTCGGAGGGGGGGAGGGGAAAGTACCACGGGCTGACACAGGCCCAGAGGCACGGGCGGGGGGCCGCTAAGCGGCAGCGGCAGGCAGGGGGGGGGGCAGGCCACCACCACCGAGCGCGGGCGCGGGCGGGGGGGGAGGGGCGGGGGGAAGAAGGCCACCACCACCGGGCACGGGCGGGGGGGGAGGGGCGGGGGGAGGCAGGCCACCACCACCGGGCTCGGACGCGCGAATTTTCCGCTGAGTCGGAGAGAGGAACTCATCGCATCCTCCGTCCGCCGCCGCCAAAATGACGAGGACTGGACAGCGGCGAAGAGGGGAAAAGAGAGGAAAGAAAGAGGGAAAGGGAAGAGAAGAGAGGAGAAGGAGGAGGAGGAGGAGGAGGAGAGAGAGGGCGATGGATCCTGAGTCCAAGGGCGATTTTCCGCTGCGTAGGCGTCCTAACACGTAGTTGGGTTGCGTAGAGGGCGTTGGGCATTCTTGAAACGAGCACTCGCACGTGGGTCGCCTTTGGCTGGGGTACTTCGTGGTAAGAGACAATTGGTCAGCACGGCCCAAAACAAACATCCTTATCATGGTAGACATGTTTTCAACGCGGCCACGCTCAAACATGGCTCTTTTGCTGGACATCGGCTAGGGGATCCAGAACCTGGGACCCAGCCCTGCCTCTCATTCTAGGCTGGTCGCTGTCTAGCTTACCGCAAAGAATTGCCCAAACAACGAAACTGAAAAACTGAAAGACTGGCGTTGGAGCAAAGCTGCAAGGTATCCAGCGCTGCCACCCGGTCGGAAGGAACGCCTAACTTCATTCGCCAGGTTGAGCTGGAAGTTTGCCCCGTGTCCGTGCCAGACACGATCAAGCAATTCAAGGGAGCCGGACATGATGAAAAACAGCCGAACTTAGATTTTTACTGGGCGTGACGTCTCACGTTCAAGCGTGCCTCGAGATCAAACGAACCCTTAGAAGAAAACGCTTCTGGCGCGCATTCCAGAAAAAGGCACTGCTTCTTGACACATCGACACACATAGCCACTTACCAAGGTTCTTTGACTGATCACAGGTTTGACTGTGCCAGCGTGGGATTATGTCCGAGGCAAGGTCACCAAAGGATTGTCGCACAGTGTGCCTGATGTCCAACAAAGCATGCGTCGCAATGCTTTCTCGCAGTGTCTGTGTCCCAGGTGAGTCCAGGACCGGCCGAATGCCAAGCCGATTCGCAGCCTCCTTCCTCGAAGTCAAGTAGGTGATGTCCTACTGCCACTCAATCATCTGACCAACCGTCATTGCACGTCAGTTTGCGATGACGATGTGGAAGGTCCTACCCAGGAGTCCGTGTCCAGAAACAGGAAGTCTAAGGAGAAGGACGATGGATAAAGATAGGTGCAAGGAACAGCAACCTTCACAGTTTCTGCATCCTCTTCCCTACTTGTGATGGCAACACCGAGTCCAAGTGCCTCGCCAGCACTGACGAATGACAAAGAGTAACGGTGCGGGTGTGCTTTTTGCACCCTTTGATTTTGGAACGCGTTCGGCTAGTCAGCTTCAAGCTGCTTAGCTTGGAGTCCACATCACAAGGTGACTGGCTTGGACATCGCGCGCTGAAAAACGGACTTCAATCACCATATCGGCTTCTCAATGTCTAAGACCTACAGTACTTGGTTGTCTGGAGTCTAGCAGATTTGCGCATTGGAACGGAATTTGATCGGGAAGCTGTTGGCGCCGGTCCTTAGCGATGACTGGCCAAAGCTCACCTCCGCCTCATGCTCGGTGATGTCGGCGTTGGCGTTGGGCTGAATTGCGCAAGCCTTTAGCGAACAGAGCGCGGCGACACCTTGCGCTTCGGCGCACAGGGTGCTTCCTACCCAAGGGCTTCCTAGTAACTGCTCAGCCACATTTGGCAGCTCTTTCCTACGTTGCCCGCATTCCATGTGGGTCTAAGCCTGAGCGACCATCAGCATTTCACGATACGATGTTGCCCTGCAGGCAAATGTTCGGCAAGACTTTGGCGTTGTTCCGGTGAAAACCAGTTTGGGCGACCGGGTGCTCTGGGACAGGCAGTGCGATGTCCATAGCACGATAACCAGCTGGAACTTGTGACCGGCCGTCAGCTCTGCCTGCACTCGCCCTGTCGGTCATTGATCGACCGGATGACTGGGCATGAGTGTGGAGTGGCGCCTTCTGAAGTCGCGTGGGTAGAGAGTTTGTACATGGAAGATCCGTCACGCGGCATGCCTGGCACGGCTGTTGGCAAAGCGGCGTTGCCATCGATGGTGGAGACGTGCAATGCGGCGGACCTTCTGTTGCTAGCACTTGAGCCAGGCAACGTGCGAGTGATAATGCCCATGTCAGTGAAATATGCCTGAACCTCGATTACATCTGGATTCCACGAAGTTGAAAACAAAGCACCAAAAGGGCATGCAAAAATGTAGGATGCCGCATTGGTCTCCCTCCCGACTGGCTGCCAGCGTGCGCTAAGTAAGATGCAGGAAGTACACGAGCGCCCCGACGCTTTGGGGTGGGCAAGGGCCATGCAAGAAATTCATGCAAGGCGCTCAAACAGCGTGTACGTGGCACGAAAGGCAGTGCCATAGCGCTCCCACAGCCATTTGCGATCATCCAGCAACAAAGCTTCATCTGTGATGAATGCCTGGCAGGGCGTCGAGGATTCGTCTCAAAACAGGCGGGGCTTCATACCGAAAACCCGCCCTTCATGAATCCATGACTTGGGGGCGGGGGGCAATTAAGTGACACTCGCATTGAATCCAATCTAGATCCAGAACTGCAAGCATTTAGCAAAAGAAAAAACACGCAAAGGGGCCTGCTCGGCTTCTGAAAGCGTTATTGGGGCGAGCTCAGGTGCTGGGATGCGCTTGGTTCCAAACACATGATGATGGTTGAGACACTTGTGCCCGACTTATGCGTCTTGGTTGCCCCGGCCGTGCCTGCAGCAGGTTGCCCATCATCAGCGCACCCATGGTCATGAAAACCCCGAGAAGAACCATTGACCAGCAGAGCGACGGCAAAAAGCACTGGCAGGCTTGCCTCAGTGTGCGAGCATGGAGAAAAAACAGGTGCGACATCTGACACTCGGAATCTAACAAATCGGGCCTTCGCCATTGAACCAGTGCCATCGGCAGCAGTTCAATGGGACTCATGTGATCATGCTCCTCAAGAACCCCGGAACCACTTCAAGGAAACGCACATCGCACCTATTTGGGTGGGTGCCTTGGTGCTGCCAAGCCGCACCAGCACCCGCAGCCCTCGAAAGAATCGCAGACTCCGCACCATCCTGATGGCACGCCTGGGGCGCCGCGCAAGCCGGGCCGCTGACCCGCCGACCAACCGACAAAGCAACCCGACCAACCAACCCGTGGACCGTTGGACTAAACAACTAAGCGACTACGCAACCCAAAGACCAAGCAAGCACTCAAGTGACCAAGCAAGCACTCAAGTGACCAAGCAAGCACTCAAGTTACCAGCAGGCACTCAAGTTACCAGCAGGCACTCAAGTAACCATCAAGCCATTCAACTTTTCGAACAAGCAATCACAAGAAATCGTGGTTGCCAATGAAAACCGAGCACCCACGGCAACCAATGGCGCCCAAGACCCAAGGCAAGCAAATTGCCTTGACACCTTAAGTGCAACTGCTTAGGGGGCGTTCCACTCTTGAGGGGTCGCACTGTTGTACCTGGGGCCTGCAAACTGAAGCTACCCCTCAAACCAGAGTCCTCCTGTGCCCAGACCGGTCTTACCTAAGTAAGACGCGCCTTCAGTGAGTTCACTGAACAAGGGACACTAAATATCGTTTTGGGGAACCCTTCGTGTGGTGAAACACGAAATTATTCGAATGCGGGCGAAGAGAATGACAAAGACTTAAGCTCTGTTCATCTCATTGTATTTTCAAACTAGCTGCGTCTTAGCATTAATCGTTCATGTTGTTATGTCATGTCTTTCCTTGTTACCTTCGTCAGTCCCTATCATCTTTGTCTTAGTTAAAACAAAAAAAAAACAATCACCTGGAATGTGAGGTCAGAGGCCAGGTCACCAATATGAAATACGAGCCCTTCAGTCCCAAGGCTCAGCGACTTCAGCGCCCGCATCAGTCGCAGGATAACCACGCTGCGCGAAGCGGTGTGCTGCTGGGCGAGCCCCACACGAAGAATGAAATCAACCACGCCGGACCAGACGCACAGCGTGTCCTTGGAGAAAAACCATGAACCAAAAAGTGGTTTGGCCATTCAGGAAGGGACAGGAGTCTTTAGATACCTTGCTCCATGCATTATGTAACGCTTCAAGGTTCCCATCGAAAGCTTCATGGCAATGGAGGACACGGACAGCTTCCCACCTGAGGGCAAATAGGTGATTCCAACCTGCCCTCTTTCAGGAGAGCTTAAACGAACCAACGCTACGCACCGTTTTGGCCCACCCAATGAGGGCTTCAAGGCGAAGCTTCTTTGTCTTCAGCCATTGCTCCTGTGCTGGTTGCCCGCCGTCAAACGAGGTGCTGCCTACTAGCTGATGCCGACCCGTTGAGTGATTTTCAGCGGGTCTGGACTGTTGCAGCTTCATGCATCTGCGGCCTCCGTCCAGGAACCTCAATTCGGGTTCAAGGGCCCAGGTTGCTTGTGCTTGCTCTCTTTCCATCCCGAGTGGCGAACCAATCGGCGAAGTCCGTAACAAATGCAGCCCGGTCGATGAAAAGGCGGAGCAGCCACTCCACCAAAAAAATGAACACAAAGACGCCGTCGCTGGCCCTGGGCAGGATTTTCAGGAGGGCTCGCGGGGAGGCCTGCAAAGCGACCAACCATTTCAACGGGCTCCTAGCTTTGATGAGGAACTCCATGAGCACCCACAAGCAATATGCAAGCTGCCGAATGCGCTCGAGAAGTCTTTCTCACATCAGGCCCGAGCATCAGGCCTGCTTGGACAAAGCAGCGCAGATATTCACTTGACGAGTTCTATCGCATTGCAGCAGCGAAAAGCACAAGCGCACCATTGAGTTGTAGGATCAAAACATGAACATACTCATAGACTCATACATGCATATAATATAATTACTGATCAGTGGTTCATCAAGCCCCCATGGGAACCACCCTTGACTTCTATAACATATAGCTTCTTAGTCCGAAGTGGACATCCAGCGGATGTACGCCCTGGAAGCGAGAGCAATCTTCAAATAGCACATCCCTGAAGACCGAAAATACATATGGGCTGAAACACGAATGATTCATTGCAAAGACACAAGCTGGCCTCCATTCTGGCACCAGGTGTTGATCCTTGGGCGATTCATGGGGGTCCCCTCAAGGGCTCAAGGGGGTCAAAAGCAAGCCCTGTCTCAAACCCCCTTGATGTCCGCAGGTAAAGAGGAACACCGAAGTTGAGAGGTTCTGCCATCCACGTTCACCCAACTGCAATCTTCCATCCACCGGAAAATGGCCCGTCCGGCGGCCTGAGCACGGCCAGCACATCGCCGTAATCGGCTTCCCCGGCATCCACCGTGCCAATTTGTTGGCCCGTCAGGTGGCCTAGCATGTGGCTCTCAAAATGGTGGCATCGCCTTTGAACCCACAGAGCTCTTTGTTCCAACCTGCCTCTGCCTCTGCCTCTGGATCGGGATGCCCGCCGCCGCCCCCCCCCCCCGGCTCCAAAAAAACAAAGCACAGTTGGATGGGCTCGCATTTTGTTTGGGGACTGCCGTCGCCAAAATGAATTGCTGGCCGCTTGGGCTCGAAGCCGGTGCGCAGCGTCCAAAAAAGCCGCGTGAGATTGTTGAACCTCTCACGTTCAAATGAGGGGAGTGTCTGTTTGCATTGCGGGCAATGCCAGTACGCGAGCGACCTTTGCAACTTGGCCCCTGATATCGCAACCGCTTCAGAAGCCAAAGCCAAAGCAATTGAACCCTGGCTGAACTGTGAACCTGGAGAAGAAACATGTGGCTGACTTTTTCATTGCCAGAGCTGGGGAATGTCAAAGAAACTGGGACAAGACCAAAATGCCTAAGCCAGGGTCTGCTGGTCATTTGTTCTGCCTTGCTGGACAAATGGCAAATGTAGCTGGGTCCACTTCCCCACTATCAGCCAGAGAGAAACCAATACTTGTTTTTATCACCGGACATCGGCTTCGCAAGACCAGGGCCTCCCAAAGTAGACAGGCCCTGTCCCGTCCCGTCCCCGCTCGCCTTCCAGCTGAAACTCCAGCAGCATCGTGACGGTGTTCAGGAGCACCTCGGGATTGGACGGAAGCGTCTGGCCCTTGCCCGAGAGCGCGCTGCATCATTCAGTTCTGGAGACGTGATCCGGAGAAGCTACAAACATATGGTGATTTGGGATTCGAATCCCGAAATGGGATTCCGACTCCGAAACTGGGATATGCGCGAATCCCGAAAAGGGATTCGAAGCCCGAACCCCAAATTGGGAGCGATCCGCGGATCGCCACTCCAGTTCTGAAATGCTCACCCGGATTGTCACTCAGCATCAAGACCTATGGCATGCCAAACAGCTAGCACATCGCTAGGGCCGTTTGGACGTATGCGTCTGCCATTCTACTCTTAAGGATTTGCTTGAAACGTTGCCGCAAAAGCCACTTGCAAAGCATCAACCCTCAATCCTGCGAGATAGCAGGGAGCCATGCGGCAAGCATGCCGGCTGCATAGTCCAAATAGAACTTCACGCGCTTCATCAGCGGGCCTGGAAAAACGGGCCGGGGCGGGGGGGGGGGGGGGGGGCCCTCCTTATGGACCCATAAATCAATCCAAGCTTGCAAAACGACTGCAGGGGATCCTTTCTGGAAGTTGCTTTGGGTCTTTGGGTTGACTTGTGGACTTTTGACACATTCCTCCATATCCCAATTGCCTTGTTGGAAAATGGAAAAGGTCTCATGTTCGCCTTTTGTAAAATGCGACTCCCGCAATGGGTGATGGGCCCGCCTACCGCCACAAAGCCCGGCTGGTCGTGCGGCAAAGCAGAACTTTAGCCAGCACACATAGAAGAATATTTATTTCCATACTCTTGCACTGAAAAGACAGAAAAGACAGGCTCCTTCATCCACGTCACCTCCCCGACCATCCCTGGACCATCCCTGGACCATCCCGGGACCATTTCTGGACCATCCCTGGACTCCAAAGTGCTCCAAATCAAAATCCCAACATTGAAATTGAGCAAGAATTAGTTTGGCTCACGTCTTTTTGCCTGGCGACTGGCCATTCCCGTTCCTACGGGAACTACTTGCCCTTCCCACAATTGTGGCGACCCGGGTGCCGACAATAACGGTCTCTCCAAGGAGCGGTTTGCGCTCATCTCGCCGAGATAATTTGCTAAAAAGTTGGACGATTTCCTGCTCCCCAGTTTGCCTCAGAGAGCGGCCAAATGCTTGGTGAAGCCTCGCGGGTTCAAGAGAACTCTGTGAACTGGCTGATCGGTTGCTGCTTGAAAGTAAAGTCACCTGCTTGGAAGACAACCCCATCTGCTTTCACTTGCGCAATGCTTGGGGTTGTTCAGGTTCCTCTGTGTAGCCCGTTCTGTTTAGAGTCCTTCCATTCACTGCGCACCGCCTGAAGGTTTTAGGGTTGGGCAGGCCGGGGTTGGCTTCTGCCGCTTAGACGGAAACAAGGCAGCGCAATTGCTTTAGGCCCCTTTCCCCTGCCCCACCCCCCCACCCCCCGAATTACATGCCTCCAGGATGTGAAGCCAAGCAAAATCACGACCAAACTTCAAGGGGCGCTCAAGCAACCTTGCTTAAAAGCCCAGCAATATCCAGCAAGGTTTTTGGCACACTCCAAAAGGAAGGTTGCCCTGTATCTTTAATCCGAAGTGAAAGGCGGCACAACCGTGAGATGCGTGGATGGTCCATCTTCCCAACAACAGGGACATGCATCGGACTCCCCGCTTCAACAAAAACATCCCTGAACAATATGACTTTGCGGCGGGCACCTGTGCTGGCAAAGGTGCTGGAGTGGGTAGGCGAAGTGTCGTGGAGGACCTCGACGTTTTCGGAAACTGCGTGGTGCCTGAGCGCTTGGGATTCGGGGTCTTACCATGTCTTCCCCGCTGGCGCCAGATCTGTCTGGCCTTGGGCTAGGCCATCAGTTTACAGCCAGCAGCAGCAAGCTGTTTAGTCTTGAGCCAAATGTGAGGTTCCCACAAGTGGCTAGGACAAATCTCAAATCCTGATGTCGAGAAGGAAGGTACCAGGTACGGTAAAAAGGGCTTTCAGCTTGTTGTCGGCCAAGGGAGTTTAGCTTCATGAAAGCCACTAGCAACGAGAGTGGGTACGCATTAATGTTTGCTTGCAAACCTTCAACTCTTGGCTGGCATTTCCATGGCGAGCAGGTCAGTGGGTGTTCCTTGGATAGCTTCCGCATGAGCAGGTGGAAGTTCCATGAAGCCGATCAACACGAGGGTTTTGTGTGGGGCCCCGGGGCTTCCACTCAGCCAGGCCCGCTGTGAGCATTCCAAAGCCAAATCTCAAATCTTAGTGTGGGCCCTGGGATGACCTTAGTAAGTCCCCTGGTGCCATTGCAAGATAAGCATTCTTTTCGACATGGCATTGATACCCCCTGTCAGCCTTTACTCTGCAAACAGCCCCCCTCTAACGCTTTCACATCAAATTCTGTCAAATGTGGGTACCCAATCAATTCATAGGGAAAGCATTCCCGCTCACACCCCCACTTCTCCCCATAAATCTTCACCAACTCTGCCCTAGAAACCCCATGGCCAAGCCCAACCCCCCAGAAATGACAATTCTTTATGCAGTCTTCAGAAACGCAAGGCCAGCAACGCTAAACCAATACGACTACACAGAGGGGACCGAAGAGGACGGAAGAGCACCGAAGAGAACCGATACTAAACCAACACAGAGCAATAAGCAGTACCCACCAATACTATACCAATACCAAAACAGTGCAAATGCTGAATCAGTACTCAACCAGCACCAAAGCTGCAACAAGCAACACCAACCCAATACTTCACCCGGGGGGGGAATATGACCCTTGTAAAAACTGGTTTGGCAGTGTTTCACTAGTGGGCCCCTTCAAGTTGTTTGGGGGCACCCTTTATTCGCCAGCCACCAGCATTATGTAGACTGGACAATGTGAATGAAACAAAAATTGGTTGTATTAATGTGGTTAAGCTAAGTTCAAACTTACATTCCCTAGCCCCCTGTGTGAAATGGCCTACCAAAGACGCAAAGCACAGTGAGAACGCGAAGCCCAAAGAACGAAAAGCCACATAAACCTCAAGATTGGCAGGGCTTGGAAGCCATCCAGGGTCGCTTGAGGAGCTTCTAAGTTGATTTGTCAATCTGGCTCCTTCAATGGTTCTGTGCTCCATTTCCCACCTTGATAAACTGGCTAAATCTAAAAAACCTTACTTTCGGGAAACTCCACCACCCCTGAACTGCAAAAGCAATTTTAAAGACAGAGCCACTTTTGAGCCTTGGCAATCTGACTATAGGATGTTCGGCAGGGTTGAGACGGTGGGCGTGAAACATGCAGAGAAGTCCTGATGCAAACAAGGAGCTTCGCAACCTGCACTGCCTTTTGTAGATCAGGCGTGGGGTTCTCATCGCCAGAATCGCTCACGGAGATAGTCCTGTCAAATCCTGGCAAGCAGCATTGCACAGTCTAAACTCGGCTTCAACGTAACCTCGCAGCGAAGACGTTCCCAATGCTGGCCCCAAAGAACAATTATATTTTTCAACATGGCCACTGGGGGTGCCTCCAAACATGGACCCACCCTGGTGGTCTTGCTGCTTGAGTAGCCTGCCTAGGGCCCCATACGGCGCCTGTGAGTGTGACCTTGAGCCTCGCATCGCGAGGAGTTAGCTCAAGTTCGGGAAAAATAGGCGAAGGATCTTCCGCCTCCTTGGACTGCGCTCGGTGCTGCAAATAAGACCCCCGCGCAAGCAGTGACCATGGTAGCAAAGGGAAACCTATTTGTGGACCCTTTTTGGAGAACTCATGGAACTGCAAAGGAACAAGGGCGCCCATGCAATCAGAAGGACAAAGTCAGGGGAATTTAGCGTGATTGGTCGTAGACGGCTGGCTACATGAAAACCCATTGCGCCACTAGGGGCTCTCTGGCTTCCAAGTAGACGCTGACCGGGTGACCCAAATAGCAATGCGCAGCACTCCCAGATGGTGGATGTAAGGCTTGTAAAGGTATAGTGTCCCAATGCGCGGCTTTCTAGCTATAAGTATCAACGGCAACACGGACAGTCCGTTTACCCTTGTTACGCCTGATCGGGATTTGAGCCAAACATTAACTTTGTTTGGATACAACTCGCACATGTGTGTTAGTGAGCTCTCTCCTGATGAGACACGGGCGAGCCAAACATGAAACGTTAAAGGGTTATGAGAAATGCCGGTACTGATCCAAAGCTCGTGGCTTCTCAGCATCGAAAAATACAGCTGTGATTTCCAACAGACACATCAATCAGAACCCCGCATGTTTTCGAATCCCCTAGATATGTGGGCCCCGCAAAACATGACCATTCACAGAGAGAAGCCTACGTTGAGGAGATCTTGAAAAGCTGAAACTCGCGGCTCCACTCAAATCAAGGCGTAGCATCTCTCGTCCGTTCCGAGCGCCGTGGATAGGACAAGGCGCTGGCAAAAACGGCTGCGCGGTGGCAGTAATCTTGGAAAAGTCGAGCTCCTCGGGCTGCTCCACAGCAAGTAGCCTGAGATGAAAAGTGTGTTCGGGGTAAGTATCCGGAAAGGAGGAGGCTCAGGCCGCTCCCACGTATTTCGCACGAAGGCCTCCCCCCCCAACATGAAAGGCATAAATTTCAAATGAAATTCCAGCAGTACCTTTCATTCCTTTCGAACAGCTTCGTCCTCGGAGATATGCTTTCCAATTTCAGGCGAGGGAAAGGTGGCAACCAAACACAGCGAGCGAGCGGCTTGGCTTGCAGCTCCGCAATCAAGTCCGTCCAAGCAAAGCGATGCTCCTCTGCTAACCTTGGCTTTGAACTTGCGGATTCAAATATTGGAGGAAAACCAACCTGCATTTTAATTATCACCGATGGGTCGGGCTCCCAATTCACCTTCTATATGCCAATCTATAAAAGTTGGTTTGTCGTTCCCACCCGAATGGCTTGGACACAGCGCAATCAAGTGATAAAGATGTTTTAGAGACCCTGCTGTGAAAAAGCTTCTTGCACAAATCGAAGCCAAATGGCCGAACGCAGTAGGGATCGGATACGGGGGGACAAACCATCCTGTGGAAGATGACCCCAAGTCTACCGGAGCCAGTCCTGTTTGTTGCCGCACTCAAAGCGACTCACAAGAGCAAACTGGTCGGTGTGGCTGAACCGAGTTTCTGAAATAGGTCTCAGCCCATACTGAGGTCACAAAGAGTCCAAAGCTCATAGCTAAGAGAAGGAAAAAGGCCCAACGCTGTTTGAATCCCTGGCGTTCCGCGCCTGTTCTTGCCAACTTGCGCTAATGGAAATTCTGGATTAATAAACCCTTCCATGTGCAATCCGGGGCAAACTTTCCCAGGCACCTAAACAAATCCATGGAACCCAAAACGATGGTCCCCCAAAAAGGGAGTTCCTCACAGTCTACACGTGAATATTTTGGGGGGCCTATGGTCAATTTTAAGATTGCCCTGCCGACGGCCGCCATGTCAAACGCATCGTGCGGATCACCTATTGATACGAATTGCATTGAACCAATGGACCAAGTGAGGCCAATGCTCTCGGCGTGGCCCAGCATTCCATTTGCCGGTTGCACCCCACCAACTTTTGGTGCACCGAAGGCCAATGAGGACAAGGAAGGGACGCAAGTGCAACTGTGCCAAGGACGGCGTGGCATTCACGCTTTAGCTGATTCAGCGAGAGACATGCAGTCAATTACGCCCGCACAACTGGGATGATTGCGGAGATGGGCATCTGAAAGCCGCAGCAACCCCTTTGGAAGGGCATTGATTCGGCCTGCCCGGCTGATGGGTCAGGCGCATGAGATGGGCTAGGGACGGTGAGATGACAAAGTTTCAATGCTTGTTGGCCTTAGTTCACGCAACCCCCACCCAACAGTACGCAGTTGCTATTTCATGATGTTTCTGCGACAATTTCTTGAAGCTGGGATTAAGCAAAATGAGCCAACTCCATCCAGCCCAAATGCGCACTGGGAGCTGCATCATTTGTTCCTTTCCATCTTCCAGCACCCGTCGAAGCTTCTCCGCATCCTTGGCACGGCTGTTGCCCGCCTCCAAGCTGCACATCCCACCTTCTTCAAACGTATGGATTCAAATCGGCAGCCTGCAGGGCCAAGTGGAGAGGCTAAAGGTTCCCCGACGGGCAAAGACATGCGCCCATGCCTTGCAGAGAAAAGCAACAGCTGAACAGTCCTGACAAGTCGCATCAAATTGACATGCCAGCACAGACGAAAGACTGTAGCCTTGCACTACGATCACTGCCGAAGGCATCCTATAATTGAACTGCCCCATCAAGGCATGCTGTCAGAACCCTGCGCGGAACGGCGAACAAGCGGATGAAGAAAGGGCGGACACAGGCAACGGACTCATCCAATGCACTTTGATGCTTCCACCTGCCATGGATGACCCTGATTTAAGTCTGTGTCAACATTGGGGCTACTCTAACTGGGGTACATTCTTGCCATTTCGATGTCCATAAAATGACAAGCTTGGGGGTCAAATCCGCCGACCCCATGCCTGGTCCAGAATGGACCATGCTTTCGGGGGCGGTGTGTTCTGTGTTGCTTTTGTTGATATGTTTTCTATAAGTTTAATGCGAGTATAATTACTATGCGTATATTTACAATGCGTGTGTGTGTCCCTTAAGGCAGGAAAGTACGTCGGCTGGATTTCCTTTTCCTGCGCCGTCGTCTGCATTCCCAGCGCCTTTGGTGCATCATCACCACCCGCGCGGCCACTGAACCTCGAGTTGAGGGAAGGCTCAAAACACTTTCGCGCATCGCCTGCATGCCCTGCATCGCCCGTAATTGGGGCCATTCTTCCCCAAGCCATTCCTGATGGCGCGCGCGCGCGTGCGTGCGTGCGTACGTGCGTGTGCGCGCGTGCGCGCGTGCGTGCGTGCGTGCGCGCGTGGGGGGGGTGGGGGCGGCGGGGGGGGGGGCGGCGGGCGGGCATGCGGGCGCTGGGTGGGGAGTGTGGGTGGGTGGGTGTGGATGGGTGTGTGTGTGTGTGCGTTGTTGGGTAGGTGGCCGTGTGGTGTGTGCGTGTGTGCGCCATCCCATCCATTCCTCCATCCCATGTATCATTGCATCCCACGGACCCACCCATCCATCCACCCATCCACCCGCCCACCGCATCCCTTCCATCCATCCATCCCTCCCTCCCTCTCTCCCTCTTCTCCGCCATCCATCGCGTCCATCCGTCCAGCCGCGCAGCGCACATGCGAGGCCGGCGCGCGGAGCACGAAAATAGTTCAAATCCTGGGTGTGTTCAGAAGGGAGTCTGGACAAATACAAGTAAGCATTGAACTTTCCCTTGAACTTGAAAGGAATCAGCGCAGTATCATGGCATATCCAGCTCCGACAATCCAAGACCCCCATCCCGTGCCAGCCCGTACTAGCCTGAGGAGCCTTAAGCAAAAGCAAAAAGCCCTGGACTTGCTCCTATTGCCTTCAAACAAGTATGAAACCTCGAAAGGAGGTAAGGACGCAACTTGAGTACTTGCAGCATGCACCAGGAACCTCCCTTTCCCCGCCGCTATGCATGCCCATCAACCGGAACCAAACAGACAGATCCACATCCACAGATCGGGAGAGAGGAGACCCTCTTTGGGCACTGACACCCCGAAATCCTGGCACCCAAGCTTACCAGGGCAATGTAAAGTTGCGCCAAGCCTCTTGGAAGCTAGGGGGCCTGCCTGCCATGGCTAGCAAATGCAGGCGACCAGGGGCCAGAACGATCTTGAGCCAACGGAGAAATGGAGGCGCCAGCTTCAGAAGGGACAGAGGGTGACGGTCCAAACCCAGGCGCAATCTGGACAGGATTACCAGAGCCAAGGTTGTGTTCACAAATGCTTGGCCGATTCCCATACTCCACCTGGCAGCATGGAAGGCCCTGGTCTTCCGAGCAGCCCAAACTAAAAATCAAGTGAAAGGGCTCGCCTACTTGAGAAAGGGCAGGCCGAAATCTCACGAAGCTTGCGGGGCCCCAGGCGTTTCAAAGCCGGCATCGGTGCAATGTGTACTAGCAGGCGGGCTAAACAGTCCAGCCCGGACGGCCTAGACGACCGAACACCGAACAACGGCTAAATTCGCCCATGCGTTGCCTTTGCCCCATTCCACTCGGCATCAAGGCAAACAAATCACTTCATATGGTCTGACACAGGCCTGTGGTGCTGCAAAGCAGCAAGCCTGCGTTTCCGAACCTCATGATACCTCTGCCCCTACGTTTGACCAACAACCTCAAAACGTTCAACCACACCTCAGCCCAGAGGCCCAGTATCTAGATGAGGTACGGTAGTCCCATGGGATCGGTCGCCGTGAGGCTGAAGATCTCTCCTTGCAAGCAACTTGTCCACATCAAGCATGGCAAGTCAAACCTTCGACAGAGCAGGAGTCAAACCAGCCCCGAATTCACACATCGTTTCGCATGGGTGAAGGTTCGCAAAGGCAAGTGAGTGTTCTTGACTGCTGTCCCGGGTCGTGATTTCTAACTACTGCTCAGTTGGGGGTCAATCACCGGGGTACGGAACCAACGATGTGGACAGTTCATCCACCTCAACCTGAAAACTACTTCATCAGTGCCCTTTGTGAATTCATATCTTGCAAGCCGCGAAACCCACTTGGGCGCTTGTTTCCAAAGTTGGGTCCTGTCCCCGAATGCAAACCTGGGCCTCGGCTCAAGCTGCAAACAGCTGCCCAGCTTCTCCCGGCGGCTGCGGTCAGAAACGCTTCCAGCCACTCTGAAGTCTGCGGCTCGGGGGCCTAAGGGGCAAGCGGCTTGTGATTCTCACGTGGCCTGGATCTCATGCTTGCGTTCCAGGAAGAAAGCATGAAGTTTGCTGCAAAAACTCCCTAACTGCATACCCCATCCCCTCAAGTTCTGGCGCCTCGTCCCACCTCCGGCCAACAAAGCTCCTTCTCCGGCCTCCTCTGGCTGCGCGGGCCGCATAAAAACGCAGGCGCCCGCAGCGCCTGGCGGCGCCAGCCAGGCGTCCATGGCTTGCGACCAGAGCTGCTGCAGGTCTGGCGACATGGAAAGCAACGGCCGAATCCGGCCGACGCGAACACCCAAAGTGCAACGTCTCTGCGGGAAGAGAGCCAAAAGACATGCTCATCATCATGGCATGTCATGGCATGAGTATGCAAATCCCAGGAAATCGCATCTTGTGAAGGGAGTGTCAGATCTGATGAGTCTAGGGAGGGTTGCTACTTGCGAATGGACCCGCTGCCAACTCCTCCAGCTGCCTGCTTCAGCAACTCAATCAACACCTGTTTTGGCAAGACCCTGCACAGCCCGTTGAATAACACAGGAAACCGACAGTGGATAGAGGCAAAAAATAAAGCCACTAGCAATAAGCCAGGTACAATCAAGCAACCTTGCCAGCGCCAGTCAGCCACTCTCAAAACGTGGATGTTCTACTCGCTTGGCTGAGGCAGCCGCCAGCAGTGAAGGGCAAGCCCTTCTGAGCTGCTCCCGTTGCCTCAACACAGCCAGGCCGGGCTCCAGTTGCGATAAGCAAACATCCATTCAATCGAAGAATGCTCGGGGGTTGCAAGTCTGGGGTTCAAGAATCAAGCACCCTCCTCCCTTTACGCTCTTTACATGGGCACTGGTGTACTGAGACACTGTATGACAGTTTATCAGCCGTCAAACCAGAAGCTGCCTTTCGAACCGGTGATGCACAATATATGTTCCTAGCCAAGCGCAGGAATTCTTGCTACTTCTGAGCAAACCTTCCTGGTTCGGCTCACCCTGTTCAACAGACCACTTCTGAGATGGAACACGATGCACTTTAGCAGTCGAGACATGAATAGTTCCGGCCGAACAAGCCCTGGACCTCCAAAGGCAGCTCGCAGCTGACTCGGCATGCTGGAGAGCTGGAGCTCTCTGAAAACCGACTGAGCTTGCTCCATCCAAAAAGCAAAGATCGCCAGCAAGATGTTTCAAACACTGCACTAGTGAGAGCAAACGGTGCCTACAGAACGGTCAGATTGAAGCTCTTTGGCTCCTTTGCCCGACACCTGATCCTATTTCACAAAAGCACAGGCCCTTCCCAACTGACCTCGCAAGTTGATTTCATCTCGAAATGCACGCTCGCTATGTGTGGCTTGGAAGCTGTCAAGATTCTTCCGCGCCTACAAAGGGAAAGCCGATCGTCAGCCGTGCTAGCGCTCTAGCCTATTCGGAACTTGGCTCTCGAACCCGAGAGCATCTTCGAATCGCACCAAAGCTATCAGGCCTGGAGATCCGCTGTCACAGAGCCAAGCCGAACCCTTGGGTCAAACCGGCGCTCACCTGACGAATGGCCAAAAGGAAGCCCAGGCCATCCCAGGCCTCTCGTGGTCCACACCCCCGAGCACGACCTGAATCGAGCTGCCCAGCTCTTTGGCCACCTCGGGAAGGGACTGAGACCTTCTGGGCTTGAAATGCAGGGAGAAGGCCACCGCTGAAACCTCAGGTGCCAGAGGGGGGTTGTATGTCTAGCCCCTGTCTTGGTTTTCGTCAAAATGGGCCTTGGGTTTTGAATTGGTCTAGGATGTTGGCTTAAGTTTGTCTTGATTTTATAGCTTAGCATAGTCCGTGTTGCTGCAGGGCCGTTGTCAAACCTGTGTTTGGACATGTTGGAATGGAGCAACGCTCCACCAAAGCGAGCCCTGAACCACACAGAAACTAGGAAAACATTGATCCAGCGTCTTAAGCAGAAACTAGCCAACCAGCAACGCCTACACC